CCAGTCTTTGATTTGCTCAATGCACTGGCACAGAAGATCTATGGGGCGATAGTCGTTTGGTGATAGCGCTACATAGATTTGGGTGTCATCAGCGTAGCAATGGTGGTCAATTTTATTTTTTTGCATGATTTGTCCAACTGGGAGCATGTAGATTAAAGTGCAGCAATAAAGTCGGCCCTAAGATGAAACCTTGGGGGACTCCACACGTTACGTTGGTTGTTTCTGATACGAAGCCACCAATGGAAACAAAATAGTTCCTGTCTTGTAGATATGACCTGAACCAGCTTAAGACTGTGCCTGAGAGCCCCACCCAGTTTTCCAACCTGTCCAAAAGTATTGAGTGGTCGACAGTATCAAATGCAGCACTGAGGTCTAATAGCATTAATATTGAAGTTTTGCCAGAGTCTGTGTTAAGACGGATGTCATTTACAACTTTAATAAGGGCCGTCTCGGTGCTATGAAGAGGTCGAAATCCTGACTGGAAGTTGTCGTGGCAGCCAGTTGAAGCCAGGAACACATTACAAGGGGGTTACTCTGTACTGATATCTTAATCTTATTTAGTTTCAACTATGTATGTATGTATGTATGTATATATGTGTATTTATGCATGTATGTCATCTAAATAGCCTAGAATAAGGGGATACAAACACTTTCTGTTTTATAATCCTGTGTGACTCAAAAATTGCCAGTAAAATCTTTAATTAAATAGATGCCACAATATTTGCACATTTTAACATTTTTATTTAACAGTTAAAGCAAATTATACTCATTGTAAATAATAAAAGACATATATTATATAGATAAAAGGTTATTTTTTAACCATCTTTTCCAGTAGGCAATATATTTTTATAAATAGCGACTTACAACAAGTGCATTCAACCATAGGTTGAAGTAAGACCAGTTTGTAGTTGTTTTCTTCAGAAGGGTTGAGGGAAAGACAGTGGGGTGGACGGTGGAAGAGGGTAGAGAGAAAAGCTCCATTATGATGAAATGAGAAGACATGTGCCACCACCCCTACCAGTGGGCCTAGTTGTGTGGCTGAAGGAGAAGGCGGAGGAGAGAGCGGCTGGGGTGGATGTGTTCTCAGGTGTGATGGGGTTGTCGTGGCGCAGGGGGTAGAGAGGGTGTGCTGGAAAGCACAAGGTTGGAGGTTTGAGTCCTGACTGCCTCATGTTCCTTGTCGAAAGTGTCCCTGAGCAAGAAACCTAACCTCTAATTGCTCCCTGGGCAAAATGTAAAAAGCCATGGGTTAAAAATGTAATGTAAGTCGCTTTGGATAAAAGCGTCAGCTAAATGATCTGTAATGTAATCTGTAATGATCCAGGTCTCGGTGAGAGCGAGGAAGTCAAGCGACTGCTGAATAGCGAAGCCTCGTGTGATGAGGTGCTGGATGTGTGTGCAGCCGGGGGGGATGAGCGAGAGAGGAGAGGTTACGATAGAGAGCAGATCGAGCCTGAGGCCTGTGGTATTTACGGGAAGAGATTTGGACAGGTACGGGTAAAGGGGTCAAACACATTATTAAAAATAGCAGAAGAAGGCGCCGCATTCAGCCTCCCCGAAGACTCCACGACTTTGTCTTTGTTCTGCTCGTCTATGCAAACGCTGAAGCCAACACTTCACTCAACCTCGAGTTAAATACTCCCTCGTTAGTGGAAGTCGGCTACGGCAGCGCTGACCACTCCCCCGTCGATTGGCCTCAGCAGAAACTCGTCAAAATGCAAATAACCAATTGCTTGACATTCTAATCAGTGAACAATCACCATGTGGTGTTTTGACAAAGAGAGTTTAAAGGCTGCATGTTTCTGCGTCTGCGTCGTTGCGCCAACGCACTCGTTTTAATTCATGGTTCAAAAAGGCTTGCGTGTGTTGCAGAGCAGTTCACCGCCAGAACAGCAGGTGGAGTAACGTGTTTCTGTTGAAGACGACCAAGAAAGTCACGTCTTGTGTGGAAGTCGTTGGTTTGTTTTTATATTCATTATAGACTTTATTGCCCCGTGCATCGCCACTGCTGACTTTAATCGTGGTCACATTTGTCCCATATTTTCCTCCACAACTTTGTCGGCAAACCGACGTTTGCGGCAATCTCCCTCCATGAATCCAACCCGCTTATACAACCCGGCAATGACGGCTTGTATAAGCGGTCATATTTACGCATTTCTTCCGACAAAAGTTCTTCAATCTGATCCGTTATCTCATAAACATTCTTCGTTTTAATAATGGCGGTATTGTGCTATGAAAACAGAAATGTGAGACTCCGTAAAGGACGTAGTTAGAAGACCAATCGCAGCCTTGTGCGCTGCGGGTGGCTGCCTAGAAAAATGGGTCGACGCACGCAAGGAGGTGTGAAAAGGCACGCAAGGGACACGCTACAGGATCTTGCGTCTGCGTCGCTCTGAAAACGCAGAAGCATAAACTAGGCTTAAGGATTCAAGTATTTTCTGCTTCAGAAGAGATGGCAAAACAGACTTAGATCAGGTCAAACCTACCAAAGTTAGGAGGGCACGCTAGCAGTTAACTTAATAGTAAGTATAGTAGTTTTTGGCTTGTAGTTAGTGAGGTGTTTGAGGCTTCTCCAGACCGAAGCAGAGTCACTTGCTGAGAACTGTTTCTCAGAGTACAGTCGTTTAGTATCTCTCACCGCCTTGCTAAACTTGTATTTTGCCTCTGTGTACAAGTCTTTGTCCCCACTCCTAAATGTCTGGTCCTTCTGCAGGCGTAGTGTTCTGAGTTCCGCTGTGAACCAGGGTTTGTCGTTGTTGTAACTCACCTTGGTGCATGATGGTACACAGCTGTCCTCACAGAAGCCGATGTAGGAAGTTACAGCCTCTGTGAACTCATCCAGACTGTCAGTAGCAGTCCTGAAAACATCCCAGTCTGTGCAGTCAAAGCACGCCCGACTATCCTCGAGCGCCTCACTGGTCCAGTTCTTCAATTCCCTCACCACAGGTTTGCGGAGCTTTAGTTTCTGCCTGTATGCAGGAATTAAGTGGACCATGTGGTCAGAGTGTCCCAGTGCAGCACGAGGGACGGCGTGATAAGCCCTGCCTACTGTGGTGTAACAGTGATCAAGTATGTTCTCCTCTCTGGTGGGGCATTTAATAAACTGTCTGTACTTAGGAAGTTCATGGGTGAGATTACCTTTGTCAAAGTCCCCGAGGACAATGACTAAGGAGTCCGGGTTGGTCCGCTCCACACGCCGTATCTGGTCAAACACCGACCAGGATGAATGAAGCGAACTCACGGGGGGAATAAAATGACGAAAGGTGAGCGCACCTTTGAGAAGAATGTCCAGCAATTCCAGGGTAGCAGGAAAAGTTGGAAGTAACTCCGCTGGAGTTGTTCCTCGGATGTTCAAGAGCTCATCTCTGGTGAAAGAGCTCCGGGAATCGCAACAGGAAACATAATTAACAACAAAAACAACAAAAAACGAAGCGCACCAAAGCACCGTGGCAGCCGTCGTCGGCGCCATCTTGGATTGAACAAGACAGCATGGCGATAATCAGAGAGCCATGACAACGCTAAAACAATAGTGGGACATATGTATCAAAATAATTGAATAAAACGAGAACCCATGTTCCAGTGACGGCTAATGGTCCGGGGAACGGTTTGTCCGGGGGGCGGGGGAGTAGTAGTCAGTCCGCGGGTGCTCTGTATACGCTGGCTTCAGTCGGTTGTCAAAACATTGGCCAAATTACTCGTTTCAGACTTGAGCAAATACAGAATCCCTTTGTGTTTATTTCTAAAGCATTAAGACATACATCACTTTTTTTAAGACGCTGTGCTACTTGCAAGTCGCTGTGATCTGCTAGATTGTCAATAAAGTTAGAATAAACATGTACGGCAAATCCAGGGTCACAAAGATACTCATTTACCTTACATGGAATTTGCTTGTCGCTAAATACCCAACTGAGATCGGCTTATGCCGTTCTGAAAAAGTATCCTACCAGGTTTCGGAGGAACCGACCACGCAACCTGCCGTTATGGCAAAGGAACCTGCCACCAACCATCGGCACTAGTTGTTCTAACAAAGGTACCTTCCACCGACCACTTTTCGCACATGCCCGAATGTCCGCACACGGCGGCCATCTTGCTACAGTGAGCTCGCTCACCCATAACATTGTGTTGGTAGTGGGACATGTACTTGTATATATATAATAATATTAACTTGCTTCATTTTCAACCGATTTTTAAATGGTTTGGTTTGTTAGAAACAGTAGAGATGTTATTGACACAGTGCATACTCCATAAATAATGTCCTGTTTAATATTATTTTTGTATGAAAACCCATAATTATAATTATTCATAAGTATGCAGTGTCATAAATACATCTCTGTACAGGGTGGGGATTTCAACATGCAGCATTTCTTGATGTATATTTGTAAAGGAAAATCTTGTACCTATTTTAGAACATTATTCTATTTTTTAAAAACATATCATAATTATTCATAGTACGTATTGTAGATGTTAGAAATAAACAACCCTGTTCATTAATTAATAAAATGCATTTACTGTACACCAGGGTATAGCCACGATTCCGAAACTGTATAATCAAAAAAGAAATTCTGAATAGTGTAACACTACTCTAATTTTAAAACTTTAAACAATAGAATAATATCAATGCTCAGTTATGATTGTTTATATAATATTATCAACCGAAATGCATGCACGTGACACTTTATAGCACCACAACTGATATTGACTCATAGATTAGGGTTAGCCAATGGGCTGCCTGTTGATTGCTTCTGACTAATAGTCAGAGGTCTCTTTTCTACTGTTGCTACTAGTAGTTCTAAAAATAATACTACTACTAATGGAAGTAGTGACTGCAACTGATATCACTACTACTACCACTTTAACAAAAAGTACTGTTGGTATTCATTTTTCATACATTTTAAAAAATTAATTTCAGCTTTCAGCATTCCAACAGATTTTCTGCGGGGAATGCATTTATAGTTACATATTACACTTTCAAATACACTTGACACCTTCACACACTTGTGTATAGTATATTCTTTTATCTTTCTTTTTTATTGTATGTTTTTTATATTCTATTGTTAATTTAATTGTAAATGATTGTCTGATAGATTTCGATTCTGATACTAGCCCCCCCTTTCAGGCATGTTGATGATGGACTGTCTATCTGTTAGAAAACTTTTACTCGACACCGGTGTACAATCATTGAACAGGACATTTATAAAAAGCATGGAGCCAAGTTGAAACAGATACAATTCCTCAGTGCGCCTAAGACGCAGACCTCTCTTCTCCTTTTCTCTACTTATCTTAATCTTACTTGTCTTGCCTTCACTCTCATTGCGGCTTGGTTTAGCTCTCTCACTGGAAAATGATTACCTAAATGGATATATCTATAGCTCAATCCGTACTCAAAATATTACATCGAGATGATTATAACATGAATATATGTTGGAATATGGAAACCATTTTTCCTCTACAATAGTTTTAAGTATAAGGCCTGAAGAGACCTCTGAATTAACATACATACATACTACTAGTGAAGTAATACTGTGTGAATATATATATGACAGTAACAATTACATTGAACTGTCTCAGTGTATAATGTTAAACATCATTTAACTAAATTTTTAGCGGCATCCACACTCCTTGGCCACCATATCTGGTTTAATGGAGATGTAAGTCTCATTCTCGTTCACCCTCACCACCGCCAAGTCTTCATAGGCCACGGGCACACAGCACGGCATCCGATTGTCTCTGTCGCCATTCTCCACATGCAACATGAGCAAGACGGCGTGGTTGGTGCCGTTGGTCAGGGGGAATGCACAAGTGCCGTGACAGTTGTTGATTTTGACAGTGTTTGGAAGGTCGTAACTATTGTCTGGGTTCACGCTGAGGCTCTTGAGTCTGCATTTGGGATCACTCTCTTGGTAGTTAGAGCTGGCTCTGTTGGTACGCAGTCCTCTCTGCATCGCGTAGGCATGGCTCACCATCTGCAGGGCCTTCAGCAGAAGAAAGGCCCGGTACTGGTTCACTCCTGTTAAAGAGGTAACAAAAGCACTGGCTAAAAGGTCTTGATAACAAAGAAAGTAAGTTTATGCCAGATGTGCTTGTTTATAATGCAGATGTGATGATTGTACTATGATTCTCAAGCAGGGGCGTCATCTGCCGAGTGGAGAGACTGATGAAGCTCAATTAACTTGAACTGATATGACTTGATATATATATATATATATATGTATATATATGTATATATATATATATATACATATATATATATATATATATATATAAACTTGATTTGAAGACATACGGTATATACCCACATGGAGTCATTCGTTCACACCCTTTTAGATGTTAGTTTTGTGTGGACTGTCTTTACCGATCTGTAGGCCACTCAGCAGTGGATTACTTGATTTTTGATTGCTGTTTGCCCACACAACAGGGCTATTGCGGCTAATCACTCGCAAGCGCAAATCAGGTTGATGCGCGCGCGTAAATCAAACATCCACGAGCAAATCTCTATCTCAAAAGTATGTCACATTAAGACCAACGCGTCCAGCTCGCAGACCGGTCCGTCAGTCTGAATCTGTGAATATCTAATAACTTTACCGAACGATGGAGGAGCCTGCACATATCTTATCTCATTATTTCGATTTTCCAAAAATCGATTGGTATTGAAAGTTAGCATATTCACAGATTCGAACTTCATTTTACCAATACGGACCGGTCTGCGAGCTGGACGCATTGGTCTTAATGTGCCGGTAATGATGGTAAATGAAGGTAAATGATGGGTGTAGCTGGTTGTTATCTACGGTCCACTACGGTTACAGAGAGGTGTCGTTTGTGTTTTGACAATTTTTTATCTCAGAATTTCGACTTTCTATCCCCTTTCTTCAGTGCGGAAATGGGCTTCTGTAGTTGTGTGAATGCATCACTCCAGCCAATCCAAAGACGGGGTTTGTACCCAATCAGGTGTAGAGACCATGGTGACTGGCTCCGCTCCCTCACTGTCAAAAAGAACAACAGCAAGCGCGTAGAAAACACCTTCGAGCGCGAGCAGAGTTCAACCTTGCGAGCAACGAGGTTCACGTTCCGTTTGCTTGCGGATGTTTGATTTACGCGCTCGCATTATCCTGATTTGCTCTCTCGAATTTTGACAGTGAATTGCCACCATACAACGCTGCATACCGTATAGCGCAAAACAAATCGATATGAAAAAGAATAAAGCTCTCATTTGACAGAGGCAAGAGAATTGTCATTGTTACGTTACCCGAGTCAGTCAGGGTTGCTTTTGAATGAAATTAAATGTCGCTGTTAGTAAGCAGGGATTGCTAATTAGCACTACCAAGTTTTCCGTTAACTCACGCATTCGACCGTGCATGCGTGACGTGTTTTTTCTAATGGCAGAGAATCTACCGCTGCCTTGGCAATCGCGATCAACCTATTGGGCACCCCTGGTCTAACGCATGCGCTCACTCAAGGAGTGAGACCCCAGTGTACTGATTAGGAATAGCAGCTATTTTTATAGAAATGCAATTTATGTCTTTCAGTAATTCTCATAATAGCAAAGTCATCCAGTGGAACAAACGTGACACCCATGCCCTTTTTTATAAATGTTATGTTGTTGACTAAAATCTAATTTAAAATAATTTAAAATCAACATTAGGAACATGGAACATGTGGATTGAATAGTACTGAATTCAATATGACTGGCCTGTGGGTTTGAATGAAGAATGTTGTTAATAACTGCTCTGGGAGCCTATTTTTTCGCCCTCATCACCTGCTGCCGGTTCCTTCACTGGAAATGCACTGAGCTCCCTGAGCCTTCCCAGCCTGTCATTGGCTCTTTGGCCCACTTGCTCCTCCCGCATCACAGTCGTTATCTTCACCACCTCCACCTCCAACCTTTGCCTGAGCTCCTCCAGCAGCTCGGCGGAAAGAGACAATTCCCCACGATGCACTGGAAACATAGAGGCCCAGCTACTGAAGGAGAAGATAGTGATGGAAGAGGAGTTGATCAGTCCAGCCAACATGGTGTCACTGGAGGACAGGCCCAGTGTCAGAGAGGGCAGGGACTGTAAGGAGTCCAGCTTGAGGGGAGTGAACTTATGGTGGTCCTGAGGCAGGATGTCACCCAGGAAGCGCTTCAGCTCACATAGGAAGGAGGTCTGGGAGGAGGCCATGGATGAATTTTGATGATATCTGAGAAAGCGAATTAAAAAAAAGGAAAACAGTTACTGATTGCGACTTTAACAATAATGTAGTAATTTGCCAATCCGGGGACGTGAAAAGCCAGTAGAACCTTGTACTGGTTACTCTTTCCAAAGAGAAAAGGAGAAGCGGAACTACGCTGATGTTAGTTCCTGATCTTCCATCAGTGAGAATCCTTTTTAGCCTTTGGTCTGTAAGGAGAGGAACATTTGAGGAGGGTTCTCATAGAACAGAAGTCATATCATGCTCATACCTTACTCATATCGGGGGATTTTGTCTCAACAGAAATCTTCCATTTCTGGGAAATGTTGCTCTCTGATGTTTTTCCTGTCAGCATTATGTAGCACGTTTCTCCCGAGATGCACGCAGTCTAGAAAAGACAGAAAAACAAGAGTTATGTCTGTGACGAATGCATACACAAACAGGCATTGATACTTTAGGAGACTCCTTCCTTACCTGATCGTGAGGATGCAGTGATTTACTGGTGAAAGTGACGTCCAGGTTTCCCCTGTTGGGGGGGCTTTCAAACGTTAGGAGAAGCACAGGGCTGCGCCTGAGCAAAAGAGACTGCGGGAGGTCAAAGGTCAACATGAGCGGTCCTCTCTCGTCTTCGTTTGGTATGAGCACTGCTGGAGGAAAAGAGACATATGTCAAGATTTAACAAAAAAACATCCAAACAATTCATGTCTTGCAATTAGAGAGCGCATGTACCTGCAATTGGATGCAGCGCCTCCAATATGTGTGTCTGGTACCTGCTTGTTTCCTTTGCCAGCTGTAACAAGACCGAGCCTGATGAGCCATTGGAAACAGTGCAGATTCCAAACTGAGTACGACTGCGCTTAGCAAGTTCACCGTGACTCCCGACAGCTTCACGCAACAGAGCAGAAATTTCATCGGCAACGCATGGTGCTATGTGAGAGACTGTGGCGGCCGATGAGGTCTCTGTTGATAGGAATGGCTGGTCATGAAATTAAAAAATGCAGTAAACATTGGTGTACAATGAAAAGCAGATTGGAGCTAAAACAGAAAGAACTTCTAAATTCAATCCAAAACATACGAAATTTCCTGAATACATTTTTCCAAGGGGTCTGACCTGTCACTGTGGGGTTGGGGGTCGGGATCAGCTGCTGTCCATGCAAGGTCAATAGGGCCACACAGAGCCCCGTGCTGCAGAGCATCAACCCACCAAAGTGAAAGAAATCCAAACACAACATACTTCACGGTCTTGTGCGAGTGCCTGCGTGGTTAGAACGTACAGAATTATAAAGACAGTGTGGGGGCGGGTTGAGGCCTCTGTACTAAAACATCCTAAGGCTGTTTTGGCCTCTGTCATAATCAGAAGAGAGGTTAAAACAAAACACAACAACACAAGACTACGTCTGTATTGTTTGTACAATAAGTTGTGTGTATGACATGTCAGCTGAGATAAGTTTTCAAATCTGTATGGCGTCTAGAAGGCAACTCGGTATCTCATGATGATCAGATGCATGTCTCAGGATAAAGAACATGATGTCCTTGTACAATGAGATCATTGTGCGTGCGCAAAACCTTCCTGTTAATGATATCTTATCTCAGTATATATCTGAGGGCTGGAAAAGAAAACCTTTGAGTAGCCTTGGCGCATGAGCTGTATGTATGTCAACTCTGTCTCCTGTTTGCAAACATTAAATGCCCTGTTTTGATGATTTTACACTGATGTCGAGTGAGAATTTTTCTGACAATGTGTGAATGGTGGTGCTGTAAATGATGCAGCACGCATCATTTACATCACTATCGGGGTGCCCCCCCAGGCAGAAGAGGCAGGCGCTGAGCCACCCTGCAGGCTAGCCACAAGTCTCCACTGTTGCCTCGAAGGAGTCGAAGGACTGTGTGTCGTCCCCTGCAGTAACTCCTGTAAGCCACCCGGGCTGCGAGTTGTTCCAGAGCGTAAGCCTGCATCTCAGCCTGGACTGTTACGTGTCAGTGTTGTGTGTTTCACACCTCCTCCCTTGTTTTCCCTTCAGGTGCCAATCTGGTGTATGGTTGCCAATGTGGCTGCACCTGGGTTCAAGGAGTTCAAACCAATCAAGGCACCCACTTTAAGTCAAAACCCTTTGACCTTGCACTTAGAACGTTAGACATTAAACATACAACATCTACTCTGTACTCTGAGAAACTCCAACAACAGTTCTCAACAAGTGACTCCGCTTCGGTTTGGAGAGGCCTCCAACACCTCACGAACTACAAGCCAAAAACCCCTACACTCCATGAATGACCTCCGCCTGATAGATGAGCTGAATGTGTTCTACTGCAGATTCGATAGACAATGTCCTGATGCCATCCCCCACAGCTCCACCAACCTGCCCAAGTCCCCTACCTATCCCTCCCCCATTCAAAAATCAAAAAAGGATTTATTAACTAAACAACGTTATAAGGAATACAATTACAAAGTAAAATACAAAACGAACAGTAAAATATTTTGTGGAATAGAAAATTCTAGTCCAAAGTGACTTATCAAAGCGGCTGCAGGAAAATTGTAACAGTCCTTTCCCCGCTTTGGTAATTTGAAAACTCTTGAGGTGTGTCTTCTTAGGTGCATTTGAATGTCATTGGCTTCTTCTTCAAAGTGTCTCCTCCTGGTTTATCCCCTTAACATTGAGGTGTGAAGCTGCTTCTGTAACCTGAAACCTCTCTGTCTCTGTCCCTCACATTCCAATACATTCAATGTAGATACATTTGGCTTTATGCCTCAATGAGTGAATATAACAAAGCATGCATATTTTGTCTTCATCGTATAACTAGTACACTTTAATTACAACACATCATTAATGATCACAGTTCATCAGGAATCAGGAAACATTTATTACCAAATATGCCAAACATACAAGGAATTTGTCTTGGCGGTTAGTGCGCGACAGTAGACAGACAAGACAGCAGTGCACAAGTAATAAAATAAAGTAAAATGAAATGCTAATGCAATGGGTTAGTATGAATAAGGCTGTGGGTTAGTATAAAACAAGGGAATAAAGTTTAAAAATGTAAATATTAAAAAAGTTTAAAAAAAAAAAAATTAAGCATAAAGTGCACTAACAAACAAGTAACAAAGTGACGAGTGACGACAAAGTGATGAATTACAGTTAAAGTGGCATGTGCAGTGTGAAGGGGAGTGACCGGTGGAATGTTATAGTCAGTCAGTGGGGGACCGGGCTCTGTTGATGAGCCCGACTGCCGACGGGAAGAAACTGTTCGTGTGGCGGGAGGTCTTAGTCCTGATGGACCTCAGCCTCCTGCCAGATGGAAGGGGCACAAACAGTTTTTGTCCGGGGTGAGAGGGGTCGGCCACGATCTTTTTAGCTCGCTTCAGAGACCTGGAAGTGAACAAGTCCTGCAGGGACGGCAGATTGCAGCCGATCACCCTCTCTGCAGAGCGGATGACACGCTGCAGCCTGCCCTTGTCCTTGGCTGTGGCTGCAGCGTACAAAACGCTGCAGGATGGCCGTGTAGAAGTGTCTTTGGCAGGTTGAATTTCTTCAGCTGCCTCAGGAAGAACAACCTCTGCTGAGCCTTCTTGGTGATGGAGCTGATGTTCAGCTCCCACTTGAGGTCCTGGGTGATGATGGAGCCCAGGAAACGGAAGGAATCCACAATAGTGACGGGGGAGTCGCACAGGGTGATGGGGGAGGGTGGGGCTCTGTTCCGCCGGAAATCCACAACCATCTCCACTGTCTTTAGAGCGTTGAGCTCCAGGTTGTTCTGACTGCACCAGGACACCAGATGGTCAGACTCCCACCTGTAGGCGGACTCGTCCCCACTAGAGATCAGTCCAATGAGGGTGGTGTCATCCGCAAACTTCAGGAGCTTGACGGACTGGTGACTGGAGGTGCAGCTGTTGGTGTACAGGGAGAAGAGCAGAGGGGAAAGAACGCAGCCTTGGGGGGGAACCGGTGCTGATGGTCCGAGAGGCTGAGACATGTTTTCCCAGCTTCACGTGCTGCTTCCTGTCAGACAGGAAGTCTGTGATCCACTTGCAGGTGGAGTCGAGCACGTGCAGCTGGGAGAGTTTGTCCTGCAGCAGTGCATCACACTACATCATAAGATCTAATACAGTTCATGTGGTCCAATTCTCAAGACATTTGCCTCACTCGGCTGTCTTACATTCAGTTGCTCATCTACTACCTGAAAGGAGAAAAAACTCCCCAAAAAAACTCTTTGGGGATAAAATTGGGAGAAATCCATAAAGGACGGCAACTAGCATCCGTCCCCAGGTTTTAACATCACATTGTGACAGAATGTTAATGTGTACAATGTTTATATGATTTACATGACTGTACATTGCATTCCCTTCATCTAACATGCTAACTTAATAACTAATCTAATAACACAAAAACTACAATTCTAACACTAAACATTATTACAGGTATTATAATTTCCACCACTAGGAGTGCACTTCTCGCTTAAATCCATAAACACCTTCCCCTCCCCACCAGCAACGACCCTCTCTATTCTGGAGAGAGACATTAACCGGCTCTTGAAAAGACAAAACCCCCGTAAGGCAGCCGGCCCGGACTCCGTCTCCGTCAAGGCCTCCACCATTATCCCTGTTCCCAAGAAGCCCAGGATCACAGGACTCAATGACTACAGGGCCGTCGCGCTGGCCTCTGTAGTCATGAAGTCTTTTGAACGGCTAGTCCTGTCCCACCTGAAGACCCTCACTGACCCCCTTCTGGATTCCCTGCAGTTCGCCTACAGAGCCAACAGGTCTGTGGACAATGCTGTCAACATGGCCCTCCACTACATCCTCCAGAATCTGGACTCCCCAGGAACCTATGCCAGGATTCTGTTTGTTGACTTCAGCTCTGCCTTCAACACCATCATCCCGTCTCTGCTGCAGGACAAACTCTCTCAGCTACACGTGCCCGACTCCACCTGCAAGTGGATCACAGACTTCCTGTCTGACAGGAAGCAGCACGTGAAGCTGGGAAAACATGTCTCAGCCTCTCGGACCATCAGCACCGGTTCCTCCCAAGGCTGCGTTCTTTCCCCTCTGCTCTTCTCCCTGTACACCAACAGCTGCACCCCCAGTCACCAGTCCGTTAAGCTCCTGAAGTTTGCGGATGACACCACCCTCATTGGACTGATCTCTGGTGGGGATGAGTCCGCCTACAGGTGGGAGTCTGACCATCTGGTGTCGTGGTGCAGTCAGAACAACCTGGAGCTCAGCGCTCTAAAGACAGTGAAGATGGTTGTGGATTTCCGGAGGAACAGAGCCCCACCCTCCCCCATTACCCTGTGCGACTCCCCCGTCACTATTGTGGATTCCTTCCGTTTCCTGGGCTCCATCATCACCCAGGACCTCAAGTGGGAGCTGAACATCAGCTTGTAAGAATACGTGTTCAAGATTTGGAGCCTGGTCGGGGTTATCAAAAATTTAGCCGAACGACTTCTCTCGTTCTGGGAAATTTATTTGTCAGATCACAGGTCAAGTATCAGCGCTGCGTTTGCAAAGGCAGGAGCAGTTCAGGCAGCACACAGGCCGGAAGAACAACTAACTAACATCAGCAAGAACATCATGTTTTATTACCCTTGAAAGACAGAGGAGGAAAGATTTCTATTGGCCCTAAACTGGCGTAGAGGAGGACCTTCCACCTCCCGCATCTAAAGATCCGGTCACATCCAATGTCCAGACTCCTGACTTAACGTAAACATCAGCGAACAGAGTGTGTATGTTGAATAGTTTTGGTGTGTCTCTAACCCCCTTTGGCTGGTAAATCTGCTAGTTGACCCGCAGACCTTGCATTCCTCAGCCAGGACATAAACTGACTCCCCATCCTGTCAGACTCGTGTCTGCCTGCTTGGCAGATCCTGCTTCCCCCCTTACCTAACTCTTAAATCAAGACAAGACAGCGAACCCCCAACTAAGCCCATGAAAAAAACTTTTGATTATCAATTCCCCCTTTTTAAATAATTCATTATGTAAACCAAAAAAAATCAAAAGAAACCACTAATCTAAACGCTAAAAATCTATATCAGTGAATACGGGTGAATGCAGCAGTCACGGAAATCCCTAAACAGTACAAAAATCTACTCCACATCTAAACCTGAGTATAATAGACACAGAATACATCCTAGCCTAAAAATATCACACCATCTACGTGTATGCATCCACTATATATGATGTGTGCAACAGTTAGCAGATCACGCGGACAGGAATGTTGAACCTAAAAGAATTTCTTCTTCAGGTCCCTCGAAGACGGTTCTTACCATTCCTATCTCCTCCCCAATCTCCTCCGGCCCTAACAATTGGATCCTTTATGTAATAAAGCCATCTGGTATGGCAGGGGTATTTTAGCATCTATTGTAGAGGTGATGCATCGGAGACATAGTTGTCTGATACAGGGGATGCAGCAGCATCCACAAAGGGCAAAAACCACTATTGCGATTACTAAGGTCAGAAAAACTGACAGGAAGAAGCCCTTCCACTGTCCAAATTATTTACCAAACCAATTACCGACGGTGCCGTCTATACCAGAGTGTTCAGCTAATTCAAAAGACATGGCTCTTAGTCCGT